CGTGGAGAGCCTATGGGGCGGCCGTTCTCCTATCCCCGTTTTGATGATGATGATAGCGCGACCGTAGCGCCACCTATAGGTCGATCTCGAGGCCAATAGAGGAGGCCATGGTTAAAGTGAGTGTGGCAACACTATACCAAAGTCGGACGCGCCGTTGTGGAGGTCCACGCTGAGAGCGGAAAGAGGTTGCCTGGCAAACGCTTGACGGTTCCGACGAGGCTTGATGCACGCTATGGCCTGAGATTATAATAGAGAGTTTTAGTAGACCGTTTTCGGTTTCCCGCTCCGCTCTATGGAAAGCGGAGTCGCCATCGCGCATGCGCGACCCGCTCTGGGATTCGAGCGTGTAGCGTCAGCTCCGCTATCGTCGCCATTTTAAGAAGTACGTTCCACTCTCAGTAAAGATTCAGTAGATGGTGCTTTTCTGGAAAGGTGGGTGCTCGCTATTTGAAATCAAGCTTGGGAGCGCGCTTGACCGTTATGAACCTCGCTGCACTAAGATGGCTGCGCAGACTTTGTTTGAGAAGGCGTCCCCCAGAAAACGTTTCACGGTGGTCAAGAACCTCTGGCTGCTTTGAGAAATCGCTGGCTGCAATCCTTTCACGGCCCCTGAACGGTGGGAACAGGTGCTGCCTTGTCTAAGCCAGCGGGCTCGATTTTTCTATGCGAGATGACGACGACGACGTTGAGAGGATTTTTGTATTTCTCCGCTGCTGTGGGGTCAAACAAGCCTTGAACGCCTTTGGACCTCACTAGATCCGCGCTTACATGGATGGTGTCGGCCGGCTCCGGGGCAGAACCTGCCGATGGGAACGAGACGACAGGCAACCGATCTCGACGGTGACGAGGGCAGATCTGAGGCGAGCGCCTCGAGCAGATTTATTTTTCATATTTTTGGTGGCCGAATCATGTCTTGCCGCCACGCGGCCCGTGGTTTTATACAACACGTGACACGTGCAATCGGCGCATTGTAGGTGGTGCCATCTCTGAATGAAGGACGGCCGTAAACATAATCACTACATTCTCCTCCTCTTATAAAAAAAAAGAAACGTAAAAGGAAGACAACATATCTACAGAATCGTAGTAACAAAATACCTGCACATAGTATATAAAAAAATAATTTTTTTAGAGCGTATATGAATAATTCATCAATCTCCCTTCCATAAAAAAAAACAGTGCAGCGGTAGCACAGACAATTCCAACTGTTGAAAACCGACCCACTTAGTAAATTGTCTATGATACACTAGACAAAAAAACAAAACAAAAAAAAACAGGCATTGTTGCTACATTAAGCTGGGCACAACACTGTTCAGTTCAGGCACAACCGCGTGGAAAGTCCCATTACAGTGCAAAATAGTTCAATTCGTGAGAGGTGACATTTAAAAAAATCAGAAAAAGTCGCTTCAGTTCATTGCACGTGATAATTGCCAGATGAAGAAAACAGATTACTGTTTCCATAAAATGAAAGCACGTAGTCCTTCAGTCGCTGTGGAAGTCTTCTTTCACGTACTGGCCGACTGTAGAGTTGAGTTGGCGTAGTCACGGTTGCTTCCGGGACGCAGGGGTGAGTACTGCTACCGTTCACGCTCTCTTCAAGGGGAGGTATGGAGGAAGGTGTTCCCGGATTAGATACAGCGGGGCTGCTGGTCGCCATCGGGATGAACGGTTGAAGAAGATCTTGAACCTCGAGACTTCGGAACACAGAGTTAGACGAAGGCACCTGCGGGGATGGGCCTGGCACAGCAGTACGAATTTAAAAGTAGCGCTAAAGACGAGGACAAGTAGAAGACACAGACACGGACAGGCGGAAGACACATGGAAGACGGAAGACACGGAAGACACGGACAGACAGAGACACGGACAGACGGAAGACACGGAAGACACAGACACGGACAGACACGGACAGCGCCTGTCCGTGTCTGTGTCTTCTACTTGTCCTCGTCTTTAGCGCTACTTTTAAATTCGTAATGTATAACCAACTAGCCCGTCACATGATCCTTGTACTGGCACAGCAGGTTCAGAGCTGCAACTAGCTCTACTTGTAGCTGGACTGCAGACAGGATCGGGTAGAGCCGTGACAGTAGGGTTGCCCAACGGAGAATGGTGTCTTATCGGAGCAGGTTCGTTTTCATCTTCATCATCCCAGGAAAGATCTGCATCCTGCTGCTCTGGTGGAATGAACGCTCTTGTTAATTTGTCGGCGTTCCATATTCGCCCGTCAGCGAATTTATAAGTGGCCGGGCCCACTTGAGTTTGAATAATTTGTGGCGTTGAATACTTAGTTTGTAATTTATTCTTGTGTTGTGGTCGATAAATCCGGACTGCTTGGCCAGCGACGAACCTCGGCCACCGAACAGCCTTTCGAGAGTCCGAGTACGACTTCATGTTCTGTTGGTAACTGCGCACTCTCGCGTGAAGATCAGTCCGGCTTGACGAGACAGCCGCAGCTTCGGGGGTCGACATCTTTTGAATGTCTAACTTGGACCTATGGGTCCGTCCATGAAGCAGTAGGGAAGGTGCTTGGCCTGTTGCCGAGTGGGGAGTTCGTCGGTAAGCTTCCAGGTAGTCCCGGACAGCATCCGGCAGAGGGCGTCCTTGTACGGCGGCTAGCTGAAGACATGACTTTAATACGCGATTAAACCTTTCCACTTGGCCATTTGCTTGAGGGTGATATAAAGATGTTTTGGAATGCTTAATTCCATGCTGGTGTAGAAATTCTTGAAACTCGTATGAAACAAACTGGACGCCGTTGTCCGAAACTATTTCGCAAGGAAGACCCTCGCGGGCAAAGACAGTTTTCAGGAAGTTAATAACAGTTGTTGAAGTTACTGATGCCACCGGTTGCACTTCCGGCCATTTTGAGTGATAATCTATTAGTACGAGAAAGAAACGTTGACTCGGAGGTGCGTGTTCAACCGGTCTCACAATATCCAACCCCAGCTTTTCCCACGGTTGTTTGGGAAACTCAACTGGTTGCAATGGTGCAGGTGCTCTCTTTGCAGTTTTGTCAGTTGAGTTACATACTGTACAATGTTGAATCCGTTCTTTGATTTCCTGAGACATTCGGGGCCACCAGTACTTGTCTCGGATGATGGTCGTTGTCCGGGAAATACCTTAGTGCGTCTCGTGGCCCAGTTGGACGATGCGGTCACGTAACTGTTCAGGTAGCACAATCTTTTCCCCTTGGAAAAGGATCCCGTTATGTAAGGACAGTTGATCTCTTACATTGAAGTAAGGTCTCAGGTCGGTCAGAGCGAAGCTATCATCCGGTCATGATGGAAGGGTATATCGAATCACACGAGGAAGGATAACATCCGTGGTGGTAGCTTCTTGAAAATCCGTTAGTGTCAAAGGAAGCATAATAAGGGAAACTACGTCCTCTTCGAACTGCGTACCGTTTTCTGTGTCTGACACAGGAAGTCTGGAGAGGGCATCGGCGACCACGTTGTCCGCCCCTTTCTGATACTCCATTGTAAAGTTATAATTTAACAACCTTGCTGTCCACCGAGTGATCCGGAGAGGTCGAACTCCAGACTCTTTGTTAGAAAGTAAAGTTACCAAGGCTTGGTGATCGGTGCGAATTACGAAATGACGGCCCCAAAGGTAAACATGCCATTTTTCGCAGGCCCAGAGACATGCCAGTGCCTCTTTTTCTCCGGTGGAATACATGCGCTCAGCGTTAGTAAGTGAGCGTGAGGCAAAAGCTATTGTCCGTAGTTGGTTTCCTATCTGTTGTTGCAACACGGCACCCAACCCATACATGGAAGCGTCAGTGGATACCACGACTGGAAGCGTCGGATCAAAAAGAGAGAGAATTGGTGCATTTTTAAGGCACCCCTTTACTTTCCGGAAGCTGGCCTCTACTTCTGGGGACCAGACAAAAGGAACGTCCTTGCGAAGTAATCGACGAAGCGGCTCTACTAGAGTGGAACAATGCGGAATAAACTTGTTGTAGTACTCCACAAGTCCTAAGAAAGCTTTAAGCTTCGATGGATCAGAAGGAGCCTCAAAGTTTTGAACGTCGTCTACCTTAGACGGGAGAGGAGCTAGCCCTTCCGTGGAAAGACGGTGTCCTAAGTACGATAGTTCTTGAACCCTGAAAACACCCTTACGGTTCAGCTTCATCCCTGCGCGTGAGATGCAGGACAATACCTCTCGTAGGTTTTCGTCATGTTCTCTCTGCGACGAGCCATACACTATGATGTCATCGAGATAAAATCGGACACCTTTGCAGTTCCTCAAAACCTTGGACATGATGTCTTGAAAGGCCGCAGGTGCTGAAGCCAGTCCAAAACAGACTCTTTTAAATCGAAAAAGGCCTTCATGAGTGATGAAAGCGGTCAAATCCCTGCTTTCCGGGGCAAGCCGGATTTGGTGGTAAGCTGAGGCCAGGTCCAACTTAGAAAAGTGGGAGGCTCCTTGCAAGGAGTTCAATAGTTCTTCGATATGTGGTAAAGGAAAAGAGTCGATGACGATGGCCTGGTTCGGCGCACGTAGGTCCACGCACAAACGAATACTGCCATCTTGTTTCCTAACCACAACAATGGGCGAGACCCACTCAGACGCATTGACGCGCTCAATGATGCCTTGATGTTCCAGCCTGAAAATTTCTTCAGATACCGCATCACGCAACGTGATGGGCAACCGACGTAACTTAGATTGAACAGGTGGCACGTTGTACCGCACCTTGACGGTATGGGTGTGATTGTGCACCAAACCCAGCTCCGGGCTAAAAAGATGCTGGAAGTCTTCGAACCCGAGAGGAAGCTGCGATACGTCCCGCGAAGTCGAAGATGCGGAGTGCGCAACAGCTGTCGACTGTGGGGTTCTTGATGAAACTTCTAGGTCCACTTGCTTGTCGGGTGACAGATGTGCCTGTGATAGGTTAACACCCGGTTGTAAAGAAAACAGGATGTCGGGGACATCTGACGAACTTGGCTGGTGCGGTGGTTGGCGGGACGAAACAGTGAACGGCCGGCGCTGTGGAACTTTAACCGACGTCACATCCTGCTGGGGGTCCGGTCTTCCGTCAGCTGCGTTAACATAAGAGCAGCTGTGATCAGCTCCCGACAGAGTAATTTGCAACTCGCGCACAGCATCGATGCCGAGTAAGGAACGTCCATTTTGACAGACATAGAACTCCAGTGATGCAAAACGGTTCTTAAAAATGACTTGGCCAGTGAAGCTTCCAAGGACAGGAATGGTTTCATGCATGTAGTGAACAAGTCTTCGTGGAGGTGGATGTAACTGAATCTGTCCGGAGCGATTAATGTCATTAAAAATTCTCGCGTTTAAAATCGAGACGTGGGATCCGGTATCAATCAGGAGCTTTAAAGGTAGTCCATTTACTTGTACATCAGCGATGAAGGCATTTAGTCGGCTTCGGTCGACTACAGGTCCCTCCAAGGTCCGCACAGGGGCGTCGTCGACGGACGTGACGTTGTACTGGTAGTCGCAGTCGTCGTGCACTCCAACCGTGGCTGGGCCGGATCTCCACGGAGGTGAAGGGCCGTGTTGACGTTCATGGGCGTGGCCCCGGGAAGGAAGGGATGCTTGTCGTTGATCATATACGAAGGGATCTGACGGTGGTTGGCGACTCCTACAAACAGCGGCGAAGTGGCCCATCTTCAAGCAACGGAAGCACTGAGCGTGGAGTGCCGGACAGACGTCACGCGCATGGTTGCGACGTCCACAAAACCAGCAGAGGTCGGGGCCGCCTGCTCGCTCGCCCATTCGTGAAGGAGGAACGTCACGACGCTGTTGAGGACCCACTCGCGCTTGCGGCCGCGGTACATGGTTGACTGCTGGAGGGCAGGGAGTCATCCGGGACGTCCTTGGTGTTGGCGTGTACTGACGATAGGGCCAGGTAGAAAAACCTGGGTGGCCATCTTGGTTGATTACCTGGGATGCCAGTCGCCCTTGACCATCTTGGTGCGTGCACCTGTTCGAAACGGGGTTGCTCGATGTACGTACTGGACTTCACCGGAGCTTGAAGATGTCCCCGATACCGACGTCTGGCGTTGGTGAAATTGTTCGGAGGTCCGAGCCAGTTGCTCGAATTGTAGAGCGAGCTGTACTGCCCGGTTAAGTGTAGGTACCGCAGTGCCAACGCACTCACGTAGGATACGGTCCTGAACTCGTCTGGAATCGAGGCCCTCAAGGAACACGTCGCACAGATGTTCGTCTAGTGCAGTACCATATGCACAAAAAGAACCCTGATGTCTTAGAGCAGCCAGAAATTCTGAAACTGTCTCTCCAGGCAGCTGAGTCCGAGAGCGCAGTTTCTTGCGCTCCAAAGCAACACATCCCGAAAATTCAAAGTGTTTTTCGAGCGCGGCTAAAAACGCTTCAAACTCGTTCAGATGCTCCGTGGCCGGCACGGTGTTCAGCTGAAAAGCAGAGACAATGCGCTGCCCTTCTACTCCCAACATCGAAAAAAGGACATGCTTCTTCTGAGCCGGCGGAACGTCGTGGATACCGGTAGCATGGAGGTACGAAAGAAAGGCCTCTTTCCACGCCGGCCAGACCTGTACAGGTGTGCCGGGAACGGCCAAGAAGACTGGAGGTGGAGGAATCGCCGCCGCGATATTAGTCAATGCTGATTGAGCCATTGTCAAGTAGGCTTAGATGGGCGTGCATTCTAATATCCCATCCTCGTCGCCATTTTGTATTTCTCCGCTGCTGTGGGGTCAAACAAGCCTTGAACGCCTTTGGACCTCACTAGATCCGCGCTTACGTTGATGGTGTCGGCCGGCTCCGGGGCAGAACCTGCCGATGGGAACGAGACGACAGGCAACCGATCTCGACGGTGACGAGGGCAGATCTGAGGCGAGCGCCTCGAGCAGATTTATTTTTCATATTTTTGGTGGCCGAATCATGTCTTGCCGCCACGCGGCCCGTGGTTTTATACAACACGTGACACGTGCAATCGGCGCATTGTACACTGTTAGCAAGTCCCGTGTATTTGGCGAATATTTGGGGTGAAAAACGCGCTATTTACACAAATTACCATAAATTTACACGATGAGTAACGGATAATTCGTTCAGAAATCATGCGAGGTTGTAAAAAACGTGTTTTGGTTCGGTCATACACGCATAACCGTGTAGCCGACCTCGATAACACGCATCGCTCCCGGCGACGACCGCGGCATTGCCAGCTATCGAAGCACCGGAACGCTTGGGGACATACTTAGAAAGGACCGTCGAGACAAATGCCGCGGAAAGAAACATGTCTCGGAGACAGATATGCACCAAAAGCAATTGCGCCATGTCGCAGGACGTTGGCGAAACCCGCGCTTACCGTGCTCGCCGCCATTTTCTGGTCGATGGCAATGCGGCTTCCCTCATGTCGCCCATGTTTGTATTTAGTTTAGGGGTCTTGATAATAGTTTCTTACACACCACAAATAAAGTCATGGGTCTAATTATTCGTTCCAAACAGTTAAAATGGATATAAAAAGCGTGTCCTCGATGTGAACACGTGACGTTGCAGTTGGTTTCGTTTTCGCTTCAACCTTCAACTGCAAACGATCTGGCCACGGCGCAAGCGCCGATGTACGCTGGAAGCAAGAGCCTGTTGGCTTTCGTTGTTTTTGTTTGACCGGAGAAAATCTGTGAAGTACGCATGGCGCCGCTACTGTTTTGGTTTGACGGGACGCGAGAAGCTTCGCATAGAGCTTCGGAGTTTGCGAGCACATAGTGAAGACGTGACCGGAGAAGTGCCCCTGTGATGTTCCTGGAAGACGGAAAGTACCATTCGTAATCGTCGTGCGTGCTTCGAAAGCGAAGGGAGTGACAGGGTCCACGATTTCGCAACCACAAGCCAAAGTTCACGACAGCGCGGCATTGACTTCGGCGATCTCGTTCTGTTTGGTGCAACCCGGCGATGCGAAAAAGAGCTGAAACGTTCGTCGTGTGTGGTGCGGTGCTTTGTATTGCGGGTCTGTTTCAACCATGCTTTTAACACGGAGCGCGAATTGTTTGTTGCGGGGTGGAGGTTCAACGGGTACAGTACCGTCGTCGTCAGCTGATCCGGTCCAGCTGGTCCGGGAGGACGCAGCGAGCGTTTTTAATAGTAAATCTTCCTTCGTTCCGTTTCGAACTGTGGAAGTATCCCGACACATACCGTCAGTAAGAAGCAGCGGGCGTTTTCAACAAAATTACGTCGTTTTAATTGAATAATGGACTCAGGATTGTTGTCTTAAATCTGCCGTTTTTTATGCTTCGTGTTGGACTGCGTTTGCACAGAGACGCACACCGCTCGAATAAATGATTCGGTCCTGCAATGAGTTAGTTGCGCCAATCATGCGGCGTGAATAAATTAGGGCAAGGTTTCCTACCTGCCCACAGATGCATGTACTGATACCATTTTTTACGTTGTGAACGTGGTGCTCTTTCTTTATTTTGGAAGAGGCGTTGGTGGCATTTATTATGGTACAATCACTTGAGAGTTAAGAAATTGGAGAGCAAGCAAGCTTTCCCAACTAAGTCTCTTTCTCTCTGTCACTGCCCTGTTTCAGTTTCAGTAGGCATATCTACTAGCAGGTACAAGCTGCTCTAAAGCAGGTAAAACACGGGAAGCTTAGGACGGTACGGACTCCGTGTTTCGCGCTTTTCGCAAGGTGACAGGTGCTTTTGTGAGATATGCGGAATATGCAAGCGATTTTCTTATGCCCGTCGTTTGCGTCCCTCCAGCAAAACGAATAAGATGATCTACTACAAAGGCGCAATCACAAGCCAAGATTTAAGATAGCAGTGCGTTTGCTTCGGTGATCCGTGTAGCTGTATTATACCCTGCTCTCTGCAACACCGTGTCTTGACGAAGAGCTGGAACGGTCACGGTTTGTGCTGGCCTCCCGGTTGACAGAAACCTGCGTCTCCCGCATCGGCACCGAGTGCGCCTGGGCTGGTAATGCTCAAGCCTTTCATCCGTGGCTTGTCGCCAGCTCATCCTGCTGCTCAACGGTGAGAAAGCGGCGAGAGTAACCTCAGAAGTGAATGTAAATCCCCGTTCATTCAGTTATCCGGTGTCAAAGTGTGGAAGATGTCCAACGTTTACTGAGGGCGGGAACTGCGAGCGTTTTGCCTTGCTTTTATAACCGAAACCAGACCAACGAGATAACTGCCTTGCGTACTATAAAATGACGGTAGCAATAAGTTTCAACAGGTCGAGTACGTCACCGGGGATGTGGGCGAGACGGTGCACACTGTTTAAACGCTTGCAGTATCCACGAGTGGTACCAGGAAAGCGACGTCAACAGAGAAGGAGCTCGCGATTCAGCATAATGCACTGCTACGGGCCCGTGTATCTTCAAAGTTCGGGGTGGTGGCAGTATAAAAAAAAGACGCATCAGCGCCCCAAACCAGTGTTCACGAATAACACCGGTCACAAATTCCCAAGCCCCACCGCTCCACTCGACACCGACACGACATACGACAACAAACTGCATCAAAACGCCCCAAAAGTGAAGGCGTCTGCTCCCGTACTGCAACTAGCGGAAGTGAAGTGTTGGGCGGATGTCCGGATGTCCTTCACAGAAATATATGAAAAATGCTTTGCGCAAGGATCATTTTCATTTATTATTGTATACGTAATGACAAAATCCCAATAATTTGTTTTCCTATCTGATTCAAGCTAGTCGGACTGCTCATAACACTGGTCAAGCAAGAAAATAACAAAAATTTGAACTTTTTCATGACCGGTTTAAGATTTATTGTTAACATATCGTTATTTATTGCAACGGACTAACATTATAGATTTTGCCTCCATACTTTTTAAATGCAAACAGTTCTAACACACGGCTGTCCATTGCGCCGTGTTTTGTGTATTCTTCTATAAATCTGTAATGGTCAGCGACCAAAGAGCTCACCCGCACATGTCAAGCTTATATGCGCCACGGGGAGAAATGGATATCGAGTAGGAAGTGTCGGGCGTAGTGTCGGTCGTTGTGTTTGTGTACATGTCGGTGCTGTGTAGATGTGTGCTGCGTTGCCTGCGTTGTATGTAGGGTTGTTCTGTAGTTGTGGTCCTTCGCAGCGTTAACAGACTCGTCTTTTTTTTTTAAAAACACGCTGCTAGAAATTTTGATAGGTGGCGCAAGTTACCGCCCGATTCTAAAAAGTTTGCTCAAGTTATTTATCCATGTAAGTTCGACATTCGTTTTTTTTTTTTTTTTTTTTTTTTGTCTAGCGGCTCGTTGAAGCTACCGACGCCGCCGACCGCCGACTACGCACGTACGTACCTTTGCAAGTAGCTACGTCCACCGCTTGGAGACTTTACTGTGTATAGACCTTTCCTGTGTTTACAAAATCACAGTCCAGCGTGCGATCTTCACAGTCCAGCACGTGCGTGTTCGTCGCTTCGGAAAGCGAGCAAAACACGCGCCATACGCACGAACATTCAAGATGGAACCGGCCACACGTTCTTATTTGGAAAGATCTATAAAAGACATCGAACGAGAGCTAACGCGCCCTGTGTGCTTTCAATTCGGCTGAAAGGCGCGCGGCTCGCTGGGCTCGTCTCTCACCTGTTCTCGGCCGAATGCCGCCATGTTTCATAAGGAACACGCTCGAAACGTTGTTGCGGAAGGCAGACACGGTGTAGCGTGTTAAGTTTACACAGCACCTCATGTGTAGACGAAAAACACAGATGGCCTCGTGTAAAACGAACACGTTTCGACGTGTCCGCTATGGGACAACGGTTTACACGTCTGGGCGTGTTATTTTTGCTAACAGTGTAGGTGGTGCCATCTCTGAATGAAAGACGGCCGTAAACATAATCACTACAAGGATGACACACCGGGCGACGGCGGTGTCTCAATCTGAGCCCTGGGCCTCGGTTCCTCGGAGGCGGCAGCTTCTACCTTCGGCTGGACTACCTCCTTGGAGCATTATTCTTTGACACCAGTGGACCCCAGTGAGCAATAGCGCCATTATGTTCCTGGTGCTCCTTCATGCACTGATCGAACGGCGTGCAAGATCCTCATACCTCGCTGCTCACCCGCCCAACCCGCTTCCACGAAGTCTGGACTTCTGCGAATCGGACTGCCGCCCTCCCCAATACCAACAACCCATGTCGTCGTCATCTTGCACGTATATACTCATCACATTACCATGTTCCCTAGACGCGGCACCGCGGGCCTCGGTGGTACGGGCTGCTGCTTTCCGCGGTGCCGCGGCTCTCCAGAGCCAAAAATTAAAGGTTAAAGACCAAAGACTAAAGCAGTCGGCAAACGGACAGATATTTTGTTTGGTTACTTCAGGCAGCAAGACAGTGAAAAATAGCGAATGCGAGTGCTCCATTCATATCTCTACTTTTTTTTTCCCAATGAAATGAGTCTTTTTGTTCTTCGTATGCTTCAGTTTGTGATATGGTGCCTTGGTGTTTATGTACACTGCGCGACACTGTTAGCGGGAGCATTCAATATCCTGTTTTCATTTTTCACCTTAAATTCGAGGGGCTGACATTTTCCTATTGGTGTGGAATAAAGCGCTCGTTTGGGGCACTAATCTGAGTGACAAACTTTCAGCTTTTTCAATAGCTGTCAAAAAAATAAACTGCAAATAAAAGCGATTTTTTTTTCGTGTTCGTATTAACAGGGGAGCGCAGTGTA